TTTGTAATTTCTTATTTTGTTTTCAGAATTGTGATTTGTTTAGCACTTCTCGGCCACCGTACTGAAGGCTTGGACAGGAACATGGGGGCAGCAACTATAGACTAAAAACTAGCCTATATTCTGTAATGAATATACATTGCCACCTTCAGTTCACAATCAGAACTACAATCAAGAACCCACGCCCATTTAAATACATTTGTGTACAGCAGATATCAAAAATTATTTCACAAAATACCCTAAAAATTCAAAACTGACCCATCAAGAGGATGAAATACGTCATATAAGACACATAATACCTTCTTTATGCAATGAAGCGTAATACAGATTGATACCTTTATTGTTGCACATTACTTACAGGTTCACATAAAATAGGTAATACAGTCCATACTATGCAGTACACAGTTAGCAGTATGCTAGTATTTCAGTCTGAACCAACACAACCATGGTAAGGGAGTCAAAATACCTGAAGAGAGCTATCCGGTAGCATTCCTATTCCTATCCGTCTCACTGGCAGTTGCTCAGACAGCACATGCAGTCGCGGAGAATGTGATGCTGTCATAGTCACTCACTGGCCACTCTGTTCCAGAGACAAACTAGTTTTAGCCAATCACTAGAGCCATAGATGGCATTTTGCTAGCATAATAGTGAAGTAGGCCACAGCTCTACCAGCAGGGGCTAACTGCTGAAGCTAACCAGACAAACCTTAGTCACCCTTCCTAAATGCCTGATCAGAGATTTAGTGTGTCATCACAACAGCATATTCGAGCTAATCTAAAAGAGCTTTCGGCATATTTAGATATAGCCTAAGTATTTAGATTAAGATTATATTTAGATTAAGTTTGCATTATGCTAATTTTTTCTAGATTGTGTTATCCCAAAGAACCACAAAATCACTTTTACGGACTTTTAAATTAAATGTTCCCTCCTGGTGGGATGACCTGCCCAACCCAATCCGAGCAGCTGAGTCCTTAGCCATCTTCAAAAATTGGCTAAAAACACATCTCTTCCATCTTTATTTGACCCTTTCTCTATTCTAATTCTATTCTTTAAAAAAAAAAACATGCCCCTTTTAGACTTGCACTCTATTAATTTACTAACTGCTTGTTTTCTTACACTAGCTTCTCTAATCGTTTTGTATTCTATCTGTTTTCTTTTTATTATACAATTAACAAAAGCAAAAAAAAGCCCTCTAACACTAGCTTACTCTATTCTTTTTCAATTTTTCTTATTTATCATAAAATTAAAAAAAAAACTTGCTAGGTGACTGCGTTAAGCTGAGACTTGTTATAGCACTTGCATATCATTGCTCTTTTGTTGATTTTGATTGCTTCCATTGTCCTCATTTGTAAGTGGCTTTGGATAAAAGCGTCTGCTAAATGACTAAATATAAATGTAAGCCAAATTCTTAGCTTGCTAACTAAGACTATAGGCATACTGCAAACACAAAGAGTATTTCTGTAGGCTGACCTGGAAGTGAGCACAACTTTTATGAATTTGATGTCTAAATACAATCACCAGAAGTAAAAACGTAAACATACATAGGCTATAAACAAACTACACCATTGTCACATGACTTCAACATCACCACCATTAACTCTTTCAGTCTTTATTTTAAAACATTTCCCTGAAGGTTTGAGTGGGAATAGTACGAAAAAATGCAATTATAAACACAAGGCTGTAAAAATTGTCCAAGACAACCTCTGTAGTCCCATTTAGCCATTTGTTAGTAACGTCTTTTTCAGGACAAATAAAAGCTTGCAAGATGTAGGCTACGTCTGCAAAGCTTAATCTAGAAAAAGCATGCTGTATACAAATATCTGATAGTCATCTCTAAGATGTTAGTTTTACATACATTCTAAATCATAAACATCTTAAAGACATTTTTTAAACGTCTATTGACATCTGATAGGAAACGTCCTATAGATGTATTGCAGACGTAAATGCATATTTTAAGATGTGTTCTGGTGTAGAACCAAACTTTATTTATCTTAATTTAATGCTGTGTATAATGAGCAGCGGTAAGTAATTTCGTAATTAATTTCTTTTATATCAGAAATTACTAAGGCATTGAAATTAATTTAATGTAAATGCTTATGGACTGTACATACACATAAACAAAAAGGAGACCAAAACTGAAAAAGGAAAGGTTTTAATGATGCTGTAAACACATTTTATTCCCTTATTACAAAAACTGCAGTTGTACTGTACCATAAACTTTAAAAACATTAAATGCAAACAATTTAACATTAAATATTACTAAGCTGAGACCTTTCAGTGTACATATCACAATTCCAACATTAAAACCTGCAGAAATAGTGAAAGTGCCCTAGCATTGATGAAAAGTAAATTTAGCATGCAAAATCAAATGTCTTTTACCATAATTGTACAAAAACTACAGCAAATAATCTCAAATCAATGAGATTATCTCAAACGATATCAAATCAATGGTGCAAAAAAGCAGATTTAATTTATTACGTTTCTTTTATGATTGCCATGGTGATTAAAAAAGGCTATTGGTTAAAGATCAGAAGGCATATTATTGAATGTGTGGACAGACGTGCATACAGTGAGTGTGTATGTGTGTGTGAAGACTAGAGCTAACAGTAATTTACCCTCTCAGTAGATTTGTCAGTATGTGTGAGAGAAAAAGAGAGTTCATTCAAAGAAAGAGCTATAAAAAGCCTTGCGAGATGCACCATGATTCATTACTCTTGTAACAGGCCTGGTGGAGGTCAGGGCCCCTTCAGCAGAATGGAGGAGCTATTACATGACAATATTCAGCAGTCTGCTTTGTGAGCCTGTCCATGGCTGGCTAGGGGAAGTTTGTGTGTGTGTGTGTGCTGAATACAAAAGAGAAACATTGTGCTTTGTGCTCCTACAGCCATCCGTAGCTGCAACAGACACTCTCAATAAAAAAACAGCGATGTGAATCAATAAAAGAGCTCCAAATGCTGATCTTGGATTTGATTTTGGCATGCAAAATGCATTTCGTTTTAAATTTTATTTACTTAACACTTCACCAAAGCACTTTCTAAACCCAGCCATTTTTCTAAGTACAACTATAACCCCAGCTCCAGCCTCAAACATGGCAACATGTTCATCTAAAATCTGATTTTTTTTTTCCCCCACTGGATCCTGTGTATTTTGGCTTTTTGCTTATAACAGCCTCCCCAAAACTACGCCCTCTCTAGGCCGTGCTTCTCCACGGAGGATCTCCAGAAATCCCAGCTTTGTCAGAAATTCTATCCGTAATCCATCTGTAGGCTGGACCTCGCAAAATACACCCTGTGAACCTGAGGAAGAAAGAGAAATGACATATTCAAGGCCAACATCAAGGATACTATCAGCCAGTCTCAAAATATGCTTGAAATTACAATCAATGTTAGCTCACTATTAGCTTTGAGGGCCATTAGCAGGGCTGTGAGGAGGCTACGACTGACACTACAGTCCACCAGTTCAGGAAGAGCCTCAAGCCTGAGCTGAGATGGGAAATGATACAGCAGGGAGTCTGGATAGTCCTGTTCTTCATGGAAATACAGCAGCACCTCCTAGATGATTGGAGGAGAAAGTGCAATTCAAGCCATGTCAGGATTAGATGTTACTATTGCCCCATTTTAAAAGTACTGCAGAATAATTGTGTCTAAAGTGTGGCTGTGTGTTTAGCTTTAACTCTTACCTTTGTTGCAGTATGTCCACTTGCTCCATGGGGGCGTGAAGGATATTTGTCCCTCATAGCAGGTAGCCAGGTGGCCTGACATCGTTTGGCAAAGGAGCAGACATCCAGAATACCCACAGCGCACCCACATACACCCAGTTCATCCTCCAGAACCAAGCTGTACTCTGGGCACAAGGCCAGAGATGCACCTAGACACCTGAAACACAAACATACAACAGAAAGAGGTTGATATTTCTCATATACCTCACTGATTTTTCAGGACCGAGAAACATTAAGGCGTTACGTTTTAGTACAACCTCATGTTTTTCTTGTATTTTCTTACAGAATGTGTTTCCCTTTATATACAGTACCACTCAAAAGTTTGGGGTTGATACGATTTTTTTATGTTTTAGAGAGAAGTCTCTTATACTTGCCAAGGCTGTATTTATTTAATCAAAAATACAGTAAAGCAGTAATGTTGTGAAATATTATTAAAATTAATATTTAATTTTAATATACTTTTAAATGAAATGTATTCCTGC